AAAGTCCTCTTTTTTATTTTTAACTTTTTTGAGTGCAGTAGCTCATTGAGAGCCAAAAAAATTGGGTGCGAAGAAGAAGCGCCCATGTTTTAAACATTTAAAGCTGGTAAACAAACTTTTACTTTTACTTTTGGCTACTCTATTGACTAGCCCCGGGTTCTCACTCTCTCTTTATCTACAGAGAAGAGCAAAAATCCCCCTGCTCTTGTCACGGATTCCCCCTTTTACCTGGGAACTTACCCCCGCTCTTGTCGCGGAATCCCCCTTTTACCTGGGAACTAACCCCGGCTCTTGTCGCGGATTCCCCTTTTACCTGGGAACTTACCGGTGCACCACCCTGACCGCAGAGAGTTCTGAGTCCTCATTGGGGTTATGGCTGAGTCCCCATACGGGCCACCACGTGTCGCTACCGCCTCGACCACCAAGGAAGACGCGACACCGAACTCTTCTCTCTGCAGTTTATTCAGGACCTTTGAGCAATCTTCTGACCCCAACCCCAGGGAGAATTCCCCACAGCCTTAAGTACCCGCTGGGTAGCCAACCCTGATACGTCACGTGGGAACCACCAATAGGTTCAGGTGCACGGAAGCAAGCCAGATTCTTTGCCTTAGCCATATAAGGAGTTGTTTACCACAGAGAGCACTCACTTCGGGAAGGCGGAGGGCGGAAGCTGGCACCATCTTCCAGGTGCGGCCTCTCGCAGCTCTCTACAATAATGTCTCTAAAATGATTTACTATCCACATTGTATCATCCAAACAAATGTCTCAAGAAAACAACAAAAGACAAGTCTAGAACCCATTGAAATAATGATCAGAAGACCTGCATTGACAGTTCTTAAAAAGATAAGTAATCCGGGTGCTGGTGGCTCTCATCTTTAATCCTAGCTACTCAGGAGGCTGAGATCTGAGGATCATGGTTCAAAGCAAGCTCAGGCAGGAAAGTCTGTGAGGCTCTGATCTCCAATAAATCATTAGAAAACCAGAAGTGCAACAGTGGCCCAAGCAGTAGAACTCTTGCCTTGAGCTGAAGAGCGCAGGGACAGTGCCCAAGCCCAGAGTTTAAGCCCCATAACCGACAACAAAAAGACAAATATTCAAGTGCAAGATAATATGCTAATAACAATGAAATGCAAATCAATCCCAAAGTGAAATATGTCACTTCACCTAAGTCAGCATGACTGTTATCACAAACATGGAAGAATATAAATGCTGGTCTTCTGGTAGAGTGTGGGGAGGAGTTCTGCTGAGAATGCAAACTTCAATGTTTTATTTTGTTTTGTGGGTATTTTTTACACATTTAATTTGAGGAAGGGCCTGAGATTAAAGTAAAGGTTCAACAAGAGAAGAACAGATAAAGGAAATGGGATAGGTGCGGACAATAGAAAACTACTCACAAAGAAAGGAAGAAAGACTGTCATTTGTGATAACCTAAAGGAAGTTAGCTTAAAGGAAATAAACCAACCATAGAAACACCAGTATTACATTATGTCTAGAATAAATAGACTGCATGGAACAGAAAATGAAGTGTTGGTTACTAGAGAATGAGGAAGGATGGAGGAAAGACAGGATACCAGAGATCAGAAGTTGGGTACAAATTTCAAGCAAATCAGGAACCAAACGATTGATTAAACACTGTGAAGAACATGAAAATAATTTATCAACAGTTACCAAATCAATGTTTACCTATGAGCAGTGTATGTTATATGTAGTGACTCATTGAGGTTATGACAGTATACAATACATGGGATACTGTCAGAAGTGCAGAGTGCATATGACTGACAAAAACAAACAACAAAGATTGACAGTGAAAATGATACACCAGAGCCCACTATCAAGCATCTGCCTGAATCCTGGCCTTCTTAGTTTGTGGTCAGAATGAAGTAAAGTGCAGCAAAGCCACACCTGATCTCTGCTCAGGAAGGAGGCTCTGTGAGCTCACAGATGAGCACCATTCTCCTGGAACACACCAGGAACTGTGGGCCCTCCTTGGCTGTGCAGGCCCAGACCAGGCATGGAGTTCATACCACATGAGACACTGCCAGTGTGGTAAAAATTCACCATTGTTTTACACTCTTGCGTGTGCACAAGGAGTCACAGGTGTGTTGTACTTTGGGTTGCACAAATTTATAAAGATGGTGGTAGCACATGGTACACAGTATCTGTGAAGGGCCGGTTCACCATCTCCAGAGACAACAGCAAGAGTACACTTTACCTGCAGATGAACAGCCTGAGAGTGGAGGACACGGCCATCTATTACTGTACTAGAGACACAGTGCAGGAAATCCAGTGTGGGACAGACACAAACCTCTCTACAGGGCGCTCAGCACCAGCAGGGGGCGCTCAGCACAGCTTGGAGCTGGGTCAGCTCAGGACCAGCTGCACACAGAGCCCAGGGCTGCTCTCCTGCTGTCTGCCCTGCCTCTGTGTCCACAGTGTGACAGCATCTCTCCTGAGTTCATGACCCGCACTCCTCTGTGATGTCTCCAGTCCTTTGCTGGGACTGTTAAGAATGAACAGAGTGGGGCTGGGAAAATGGCTCAGTGGTAGAGCACTTGCCTTGCATGCTTGAAGTCCTGGGTTCGATTCCTCAGTACCACATAAGCCAAAAGAAAAAAGCCGTAAGTGGAGCTGTGGTTCAAGTGGTAGAATGCTAGCCTTGAGCGGAAGAGCTGAGGGATAGTGCCCAGGCCCAGAGTTCAGGCCCCACGACTGGACCAAAAAATAAAAAATAAAAAGAATGAACAGAGTATCACGGTGGAAGCAAAAATGGCTCTGCAGTGTTGACCAGTATTTGATCCTGAAAACTCAGGGACTCTGGTGACCCCATGAGACTTAGAACAAAGATCCCAGGATTCACAGAGTCGGAATTTGTTCTGTGAACAAGAAGGAAAATACCTGGCACAGTTACTCATGCCTGTAATCCTAGAGACTTGGGAAGAGGAGAGAAGAATGATTTTGAAGACCTCATCTCAATCAATAAGCTGAATGTGGCAGCTGATTCCTGTGATACCAGCTATCCCAGAGGCAAGTATGAAATCACTGTCTGGAACCTGCCCCAGGCAAAACCACAGCACAGTACCAGATAATTAATAAAATCAGAAAAGCTGCAAGAAGGGCTAACGTGGAAGGTGTGTGCCTAACAAAAGAGGCCCTGAGTTCAAAATAGGGGGAGAGAGAGAGACAGAGATAGAGACAGAGATGGAAACAGAGACAGAGACAGCTCAGCTCACTGACTCAGGAATCTTAACAGGCCTCAAACCCTGCCTTTCTCCCTCACCTGTAGCACTGGGCATGGGGCTTCAGAATTCTTCCATTAATTCATTTTCTTCCTCTGTAATTCTCATATTCTCAGCCTCTTTTTCTCTTTATCCAACCAACAAATGTCCTTGGAAACCCAAGTCATAAAACACAGGGGTCGGCCATACCCCTGGATCTCTGCCCATGGCACCCTGGGAAATGTTGGTGGACTCCTCAGTCTCCCCTGACCAGGCCCTCTTGCTGTCCTCCGTAGGGACATGGAAGTGGACACAAGGATTCTGGGTTGGACTGAACAGACAACAGGTCATGTGCATGTAGACTGATCTTGCTGTGCCCCGACTCTCCTGGGATTTCCTCCATCACGATGGCTCTGGAGTCCTGTGCATGTCCCATCTGGGATGGAAGGCGGGTCCCTATGGCTCCATCATGAGCACTGTCACTGTGCAAGTGCATTGTGGGCACGAGGGGCTGGGCCCAGGTGATCTCACAGCAATCTGACTGAGCTCCCTGCATCCCGGACGCCCCCTCACCTGCTCAAACAGGTCCTTGTTTATTTCTCCATTACATCAGAGAAGAGCAAGCTTCACTTCCTGAACAAGAACCTGTGTATGAACTCTACAGGCTTTAGGAACAATACTTCTAAGTTCTGAGGTTTTCCCCTGGACAGTTTTTGTGGATGATGAGACAAATCATTCGTCTCACCAGGAGACATCAATTACTCTGTCCATGTGGAAACTGTGATGTCTTGGGTCCTCATTTGGATTTGAAAACTCATCAGGAGGAGCTGGTATCTTGTGGCACAACACTAATCATTGCAAAAAGATGAAGAAAGGAAAGATTTCACCATAACAAAATCATCAATACTTTAGAGCATGTGTCTTCTTAGACTGTTAGTCATTTAACAATGTATATCTGTATTGAATAATAACCAGTACATGTTAACGTATGTCTTTTATAATAATAACTAAATTAATTAATTGGTAAACAAATGCTTTGGCCCTGCCTCTGCTCTTCCTGCCCCAGCTCTCCTCTGTGTCTGCCCTACTTCTGCTCATCTCCTGACGGTCTCCCAGGGACTTCTCCATGTCTGTGTCTGTAGTCATCCTTGACTGTCTGGATCAGTTGTTCTGCTTTCCACTGTGAGGTTTACTTAAACATAGGGAGACTTCACTTCAACAAAGCCCAGAGAATAACACATTGGGGAAACTGACTTTGCCATGATCTCCAACATCAGATCTGAGGAAGGCTAGAGATGAAAAACACAAATCCACCCAAGCCTAATGGAAAATGCTGCCAACAAATCTCCCAGTAACATTGAGACCTAATGAAACATATATACAGACATACAGAATTCAAGAATATTAGGAAACCCATTTACTATCATATCAAATGTAAACTGTACATCAACGTATTGCTAGATTTTAGGCAACTAGCAGCAGCTTAGTCTAGCTACCATCATCTACATGAATATGCCAAGGTGTGTGATGCTATGATATTACAATGCCACTAACTAATAAGAATATTTTATTTGCACCATAATTCTGTGGGACAACTTTTATATATCCTGATCATCACTGCCCAAACATTGTTGTGAGCTGAGCTGCTCATAACTATGTTTTCTGAACGGGAAGTTGGCAAGATGAAAGGCTATTCTGATGCTGCTCATTTAGTAATTAGGAACAAGGCAGGGAGCATGGAGCACAGGACATTCTAGGGAGGGCGTGGCAGAAGTGGCTGAGGTACATTCACATCTTGGGTGACTGTAGAAGTCCACCTAGGGTAGCCCAGCAAGCTATGGGAGTGTGAATCTCTCAGCAGCGTCAAGCATTCAGGATTGCTTTCTTTACTTGAAATAAAATGTGAGAAGAGGACAAATGATAAACGCAAAGTCAGAAAGAATCAACAGGTAACAAACAGAGAGTTCTATTAGGAGGTGTGGCAGTAGGGCGGTGGCCAGGGGAACAAATCCTAAGATTTTCTGTGGACAGAGAGAGGCCGGGGCTGCTGACCAGGAAAACAGAAAGGAGAACAAGGGACATTTCAGAGGCAGCCACCCCCAACTCAGACCCACACTGCAGCACCTTCTGTGCTCTGCTGAGATTTTGATATAAGACACACACACATTTTAAATGTCACCCTCAGGGACTGAAATGACTGTGGGACATCAGGGTCTCTGGCCCGAAGGGAGGCTCTGTCCTGTTCAACCCCAGGCCCAGGGCCTGCACCCCTCCCACCAGGCCCCATTCTGAATGTTCACCTCCTCTCTGTGCTGAAGTGCTGGGGGCCAATACCTGACTTTCCAATTGGACCTCCAAGTTATGGAACCCAGAAGCACAATCCTCCTGACACTTTTGACTCAAGTTTGAGTAAGAAGCCACACTTGTGAGTAGTATTATGGAAAGTGTGCCATATGAATGCGTCTGTACACACATGCTCAGACACATGAACACACATCAATAACAGGTCAGGTCTCCCATTCACATTCATGTGCACATACATCAACAACTTCCAGGTCTCCAATGAACACACAGGAAAATCAAGGCTTTCTATACAGAATATAGAGCCCATGGAATAGCTGAAAGACCCCAGACTCCTGGGATACTTTCATCTACGGGAGGGCACCCCAGAAACCAAGACTCCAAACCAGTAGATGGAACAAGCAAGAGGAGTTTATTCAGCGTTTGTGCAAATGGTCTCTCTGCCTCAGCAAGGGAGAGATCCCCGAGCAGCAGTTACAGGCATTCTTAAAGGCAAAACCCACAAGATTAGCATATAACACCAGGTGTCCCCGGGATTGGCCCATTTAAAAGTCACTATGTACTCCAGCAATCATTTTTACTATGCGGGGGAAGTTTATAACACTCTTTGTAAAACAGTTGGCTCAGGGCAAGTCTAGGGGGAGCGGTCACCCTGGAGGGGAGTTTACATAGTTACAGGCTTGTGATTGATTAACATTTGGCATAGTTTGCTGGACTTGCCAGGTGGTCCTTATCTTGGGTCCCATTCTTGGGTCCCATTAGGCCACTTGGGGAATTTATTGTTTGTTCTTTATCTATGACCACAAACCTTGTCCCGGGGCCAGCATCTAGGCTCCGAGACTGTTTTTTACTCAATTCCTTATTTCCAGAAGGGAGGGGGGTTAGTGCTAGCGCGAGCAAGTTTACAAAAGTGAAATCAGCAGTTAGCAATTGTAAAATGTAATTCTAATTTTTAATCTTTCATTCCCTCCTTTTTCCTTGGACTAATTTTAATCTTAAAATTCAGGGTGTCTCTCTATTATCTTGTGGGGTGTCAGTTGTTCTCAATGCTTGGTATTGGGATCTCAGAACTAATAGACGGACTGTGCTGATCTTTTTCTTTTACAAAAGACACCAGTCTGTTGAGTATACAAGGTCCGATTGTAACAAAATTAACAGTACCAGAGCCCCTTATATTTTTTTCACCAGTCCTGTCTCCGTGTATCACAATTAACTTAATTTTATACCAGCTGTACTTGTAAGCTCCAATTTTAAGACATACTCATACCATTTGCTACATACTTAAACTTTCTGAGGTTTGTCTTAAAGACAATCCTTACTTTTTAAATTTCCCCAATTCCTTTCCCAAGGCTTTCTTTACTACCTTTTTTCTTTATAACCCCTTGAGCATCTTTGTGGCTGTAGTTTAAAACTGCCCAATTTTCCTTTGGCTTGCAGAACCTTTATCTTAGAACAGCCTTAAGGCACCACTGTGATGCAGAAGCTTGCTAGATTTTAAGGCTAAGAGTATTACCTCCATTGATAACACACTCAGGTTATTACCATACCAGAGCCAAACTAGGCTGTGACCATAGAGTGAATTTCCAGTCACTATGCACTGAAGTGCCTAGGACAAGCCAGTGATATCCTTGTCCCCAGTATCCACTGTGGGAATAGAGAGGATTTCTGGATATTGCCCAAAAGAATGTCCCACAAGATCTTAGATTTAGCAGCTTTTAACCAGGATGCAGTCTCAGGTGATGGAACCAGGCAGGAGTTCAGTCTACTTTTACCACGGTGGAGGTGGTCTGGGTGACAACATACATTTCCTCCAGGTGACTGTGAGGTTGTCTTCAAACTCTACCCATTAGGACATGCAGCAACAGCAGCAACAGCAGGATCTCTCAGTGGTTCCAAGGGACTGTCACACCTCATGCTGGGCT